CTTTTACTCCGATACATTTCCCTGAGTCATATTCGTTACTTACTACAAAATAGTCAAAAGAACACGGACTGCAGGAAAGCAGGTTTGACGAATCAGTGTTCTGGCGTCTGCAAGTTAGAGTCATGCTCATGTGCAAGCAAGTGCACGCACCACCACGGATGATTCATTTTCCACTCAAGTCCAGTCTGGGGTGTGCGATATACAGTATATCTGCGATAATATGGTAAGTGTTGTTGTAATGATGTGCGATCTGACATTATCAAGTATATCACCAAATCACACACAGAGTGCAGGCACGTGATTTATTAGTCTATTAAAACTCAAAATTCAAGGCATTCTAAATTGTAGATGGCAAAATGCGTCAGTATGCTTTTTATATTTATATAATTTATTATAGTAAACTTAATCTATCATGCAAAGAGTACAGTTTTTCTGCAGCTATCAGCATTACAAATTTAATAAAAATGTTTTACAAGTTCAGTAAAGTTGGCAAGTGACTAACATTTTAGACATAATATTGCTTGTTTTTGCTAAATTTTGCCAATGAAAATAGTTCCAAACAAAGATCACAGCACTGTTTTGCGTCTCTGAGCAAAGGTGTTTACTTACTGAATGAATCAGCTTTTTGAAGGAATCGGTTGAATAAATGATTCAGTGAGTCACTCATTAACACAGTTAAATGCTTTGTTCCTGAATGAATCAGCCTTTTGAATTAATTGGTTGAATCTCAATGACTCATTCATTCATTAACAGTCACTTGTTACCACCTACTGGCGGTTTTAATTTCACATTTCGACAATTTTTTTAAATCACTTCAAATATCAGTATTCAACGTTTTATATTAAAAACAAAACATTATTTATGCATCTGTAATTGCAGGTTAAATGCATCCATGTCCCCTCTGAGATACATTAAACTGTAAATACATCTAAATGCTATTTCAGATGCAGATTCATAAATGTTTTCTTATGTTGGAATGAAATACACTATAAGTACCGGATGAAGTGCTTCTTATTCTTACCCAAAAATACAAAATGGAAGAAAGAGTTAAAACTGAACACAATCTTGCTACTCAAGCGGTGTATGAAAATTGTTTTATATATATATTTATTTGCTTCTTTTCCATTTTGCTTTTACTTTCAATACTTAAGTACGTTTAAGATTTAAAAAATACTTTTCGTCCTCGAGTACGATAAATATCACATACTTTAAGACTTTTACTCAAGTAATATTCTAAACGGTGACTTCAACTTCTACCAAATAATTTTCTGGTAAGATATCTGTACTTTTACTTGAGTATGACTTTCAGGTACTTTATACACCACTGTTTAGCACTACATCACTTGCTCACCAGTGGATCCCTCTGGCGTGAATGGGTGCCGTCGGAATGAGAGTTCAAACTGATAAAAACACTAATCCACATGACTCTTGTCCATCAATTACACAATCCTGTAAAGCAAAAAGCTTCAAACAAGTCCTCTATACATAACATTGCTTTCTCCAGGTAAAGAAGTCACCTGTCTGAATCGGGGAAAATATGCACAGATCAAGCACTATTTACAAGCGAAAACAGTTCAAAACAGCTCTAAAGAAACATGTTGGTAGATTTTGATGTGAGAGAGCAACAGGGGATGGATTTTTTTCACTACTTTGAAGCCTTATTATGGATTATGGGCTCATATTTTTAAAGTTAAAAACGTCTTGATGAATTTATTTCCTACAAACACACAGCTTTTCATTTCACAAGACATTAATTGTTGAACTGGAGTCGTGTGGATTACTTGTGGATTATTGTGATGTTTTTATCAGCTGTTTGGACTCTTATTCTGACGGCACCCATTCACTGCAGAGGATCTATTGGTGAGCAAATGATGTAATACTTAACTTCTCCAAATCTGTCCCAATGAAGAAAGAAACTCATGTACATCTTAGATGGCCTGAGGGTGAGTAAATTTTCATTTTTGGGTAAATTATTGCCTTAAAAACAGATGTCTCTAAAACAGTTGTTGTTTACATTAAATGTGAAAGTGAAGTGCTTAAATGTTTTCCTGTTGCTCAACTAGTAGATGGATTCAATTTTAAGGGAAAATAAATGCATACCATGAATGCACTGTAAATCACTTTGGATAAAAGTCACATAAGTAAATACATCCTGCAACCAAACAATCCAAATTAAAATGCACAGCAGTTTTGTAAGATTATGTAACAATATGTAAGATTTTTTTATTAAACTATCCAAAAATCACTATAACAGTGTTATATATTTTGCTGACTTGTGTACTTACATTATCCCAAATGTTTAGAAGAATGTTTAAATCCAGAGAAATAAGCAATTTTAACTAGTGAGACGGAGCGTGTCTATAGTGTCATTGTGTCGCCTGCCAATGACATCATAGCCCCTCGATTTCTGGTTTTGTTTTGTAGAACACATGGAAACACCAAAGACGCTTTAATATGTTATGCGTTTTATTAGACAGGTGACAACCGCACAGAGTAGCATTATAACAGAACTTTCAAATGTATCTAGTATGATAAAACAGCGCTGCTTTTTTCCCCCACATATGCACGACCGGAAGGAGCGGAAGCGGTCAACTGTGGCATAATAAAAAATCTGCTGCTTTCGAGCCGTGTGTCGCGCTCGTTCAGCGGCCTCGTTTCGCTTCGACGGCTTTCAGCCTCACCCTGCTTCATTCTACTACGTTAATAAATCATTAGCTCATCCATGAACATGATTTCTGCCCGAGTCCCGTCGGATTGCATCGGCTGTGGGGATGAAGAGGACAACTCCCATGATTCCACACTTAGTCACGGCATCATCAAACTACGCCTTTGTCTCTTTGTTTATTTTGAATATGCGCCCTCCAGTGGCGAAAATTACATATTGTGCCTTTAAATACGACAAAAACAAAAGTGTTTTTGTTGAGTAGCATTAAAAAGGACATAGAAATGGCGGATGTTTCACTGTTAATATGAAGTATTTGCAACAGCTAGTATTGGCTTATTCTCTCATAAAACGGAGTTAGGGCTGTCGGCCAAAAGAGGGTCATGGTAGGTTCAGCATGACACCCTGTGGTGACACTGCAACAGTGCAGCTTGCGTTGTCTTAACTATATAAAAATATACAGCAAAATGACATTCATTGTCAATTAAAAATTGAAAAGAGCTGTTCTTCATTATATTTGTCTAATACCATTAGTGATGAGGTCTTTTAATATACATATTAATTGACCACTGATTTAATGTAGATTATAGCAACACACAGAGCCTTCAGGAAAAATATGCACACAACTGAGAAAACCTTCATTATGTAATTTGGATTAAAACCTGAAGCTTTTTGACATAGATGCCTCAGGACGGCTTTGAGAAGCTGTTAACATCATACAACCAGCGTTAAATATGTAATTATGTGCTTTATGCTTAATTTGGATCTACGCCAATACATCAGAAGTCAAGGAACTAAACAAATGAGACAAAGAACATGATGCTCATATATTATTTATTCCTTTTAAATATTTTCCTCTTATAATATACATTTATATCTTAAATAATACAAATGCGCTGTGCTAGATCTATTATTTCAAAGAATGGCCAGTACTTCCATGCTGCACTGAAATATATATACATATACATATATACATATATATATATATATATATATATATATACATATACATACATATATACATACATACATATATACATACATACATATATACATACATACATATATACATACATACATATATACATACATACATATATACATACATACATATATACATACATACATATATACATACATACATATATACATACATACATATATACATACATACATATATACATACATACATATATACATACATA